TGAGCTGGCAGGGACAGCTGCTTAGAGAAGCGGTAGGGGAAGCACTCCAACTGGTGCAGAGTCCAGAGGGTTTGATGTGGTAATGTCTGTAGTGAAGCATAATCAGGGATGCCCATCCCCCTAGGCTTGATTTGCTCCCGTAAGAGACATTAGCCCTTGGACATAAACTCTGCAGGGCTGTCTTGCCCACCAAATGAGGTCTGATGTGAGCACCCCTTGGTGTGCTGACCTCTCCCAGCACCCCAGCCTGGCTGCACCTGCTTGCCCTGGTTCTCTGGAAGTGCTGTATCATAGTTCCTGTGCTGGCAGACTGCACCAGCCCATCCACTACCTCCTCTCATTGCAGCTTCCTCCAGGTCCACAACCACCCCTACATTGCTGGTGCATATGTGCATGGGTGGATCTTGCCTTCCCTGTCCTGCTAGCGTGTGTGTGCACATGCACCTTGCCCTGCCACTGCTGCCGGGGTAAGTGCACTTCACTCCACCCCTCATCCACCATACTTCCATTGCAGTCGAAGTGCAGCCCACCCCCGACCAGCACCCTGCCCCAGCACCAACATTGTCACAAGAGTGAAACTAGGCACAGAGAACAGTGGACCCTCCACTGCCCTAAGTGGCAACCTACACCTACATGAAAATTCAGAGGGTGCACACAGTCCTGCACCTACCAGCACCTTGCCCCCATGCTAAAACCACCACCAGCACAATCACACACACAGTCAGTCACCAGCAGGGACCCCCAACCCCTGAACCATGCTTCTCTGCTGCTGCTGTGAATGCCTGAACACCCATGAGCACCCGGCTACAACCAATAAGCATGTAACCTGCCATGTTGCTTCTGGCACATGCAAATGAGGATGGACCCCACTGCCACCACCCTATGAAATGCTTTACCTGTCACTGCCCACAGGAATGCTGAAACCAAAGATGCAGAAGCACCTCAGTCCACCCAGTGCAGTGGATTCCTAACCTCAAGGAGCCAGAAAACAAAGTTGGGGCCCAATATTGGTCCCCCAGAGTTAGAGCACATAGTCCAGGAGTTGTGAGCTGAGCCTTGGCCCCCTGAAATCTTCCAGAAACAAAGCCAGTCAATAGAACCCACCTTATACCACAATCAAGCCCTTAAGGTCATCAAACAGGATAAAGAAAAAAAAAATCCGAAGGACGGCAATTTCAAAGATTGAAAAAACAGCCCACAAAGATGAGAAAGAACCAGTACAAGAACTGACAACTCAAAAAGTGAGAATGCCTTTATTCCTCCAAACGACTGCACTAGCTCTCCCGCAAGAGTTCTGAAAAAGGCTGAGATGACAGAAATGATGGAAACAGAATTCAGAATATGGATAGGAATGAAGATAATCAAGATGCAGAACTACATTGAAACAATCCAAAGAAGCTAAGAATCACAATAAAACAATGCAGAAGCTGCCATACAAAATAGCCAGTATAGAAAAGAACATAACCAACATGACAGAGCTGAAAAACACACTATAAGCATTTCTTTCTTTTTTTTTTTTTTCATGAGGCAGAATCTTGCTCTGTCATCCAGGCTGGAGTGTTACAATCTCAGCTCACTGCAACCTCCCAGGTTCCAGCAATTCTCCTGCCTCAGCCTCCTGAGTAGCTGAGATTATAGGTGCCCCCCAACAATGCCCAGCTAATTTTTTTGTAGTTTTAGAGGAGACAGGGCTTCACCATGTTGGCCAGGCTGGTCTTGAACTCCTGACCTTATGATTCACCCACCTCAGCCTCCAAAGTGCTGGGATTACAGGCATGAACGATCATGCCCAGCCCAGAATTTCATAATGCAATTGCAAGTATTAATAGCAGAATAGGCCAAGCTGAGAAAAGAATGTCAGAGCTTAAAGACTGGCTTTCTGAAATAAAACAGACAGACAATAATCAAGAAAAAAAGAATAAGAAGTAATGAATAAGACCTCCAAGAAATATGGGATTGTGTAAAGAAACCAAAGCTATGACATACTGGTGTCCCTGAAAGAGATGGGGAGAACGGAACCAATTTGGAAAACATATTTCAGGATATCATCCATGAAAACTTTCCCAACCTAGCTAGAGAGGTCAACATTCAAATTCGGGAAATGAGAGAACCCCAATAAGATAATTCATAAGAAAATAGGCCAGGCACAGTGGCTCAAGCCTGTAATCCCAGCACTTTGAAAGGCTGAGGTGGGCGGATCATGAGGTCAAGAGATCGAGACCATCCTGGCCAATGTAGTGAAACACCATCTCTACTAAAACTACAAAAAAAAAATTAGCTGGGCATGGTGGCATGCACCTGTAGTCCCAGCTACTCGGGAGGCTGAGGCAGGAGAATTGCTTGAATGTGGGAGGTGGAGGTTGCAGTGAGCCGAAATTGTGCCACTGCACTCCAGCCTGGCACCTGGTGACAGAGTGAGACTCTGTCTCAAAAAAAAAAAAAAAAAAAGATAATCCCTAAAACACATAATCATCACATTCCCCAAGGTTGAAATGAAAGAAAAAATGTTAAAGGCAGTTTCACAAAAAGGCCAGGTCACCTACAAAGGGAAGCTCATAAGACTAACAGTGGACCTCTTAGCAGAAAACCTACAAGCCAGAAGACATTGGGAGCCAATATTCAACATTCTTAAAGAAATTTCAACCAAGAATATCATACCCAGCCAAACTAAGCTTCATAAGTGAAAGATAAATTAGATCCTTTACACGCAAGAAAATGCTGAGGGAATGTGTTACCACCAGACCTGCCTTACAAGATTTCTTGAAGGAAGCACTAAATATGGAAAAGAAAGACCATTATCAACCAGTACAAAAACACACTCAGGTACACAGGCCAGTAACATCGCAAAGCAGCCACACAAACGAGTATCTACAATAAGCAGCTAACATGATGACAGGATCAAATTCACACATATCAATAATAATCTTGAATATAAATGGGCTAAATTCCCCAATTAAAAGGCACAGAGTGGCAAGCTGGATAGAAAAGCAATACCTAATCGTATGCTGTCTTCAACTGACCGTTTCACACACAATAGCACCCATAGACTCAAAACAAAGGGAGGGAGGAAAATCTACCAAGCAAATGGAACTCAGATAAAAGCAGGGGTTACAATCCTAATTTCAGACAAAATAGGCTTTAAACCAACAAAGACCAAAAAAGACAAAGAAAGGCATTATATTTTGGTAAAAGGTTCAATTCAACAAGAAGACCTACCCATATATATACCTGCACCCAACACAGGAGCACCCAGATTCATAAAGCAAGTTTTTAGGGACCTTCAAAGAGACTCAGACTCCCACACAATACTAGTGAGAGACTTCAACTCTCCACTGACAGTACTAGACTAATCATCAAGTCAGAAAATTAACAGAACTATTCAGGACCTTAACTCAGCACTGGATCAAATGGGCCTGATCAATATCTATGGAACTCTTCACCCAAAAACAACTGAATATACATTCTTTTCATTGTCACATGGCACATACTCTAAAATCAACCACATGATTGGACATAAAACAATCCTCAGCAAAGGTTAAAGATCTGACATTATACCAACCATTCTTTTATACCAACCACAGTGCAATAAAATTAGAAATGAAAACACAGGTCAAGAGTTCTAGACCACATGGCCAACATGGTGAAATCCCATCTCTACTAAAAATTAAAAATTAGCTGGGCATGGCGGCGCGTGCCTGTTGTCCCAGCTACTTGGGAGGCTGAGGCAGGAGAATCTCTTGAACCCAGGAAGCAGAGGTTACAGTGAGCTGAGATCATGCCACTGCACTCCAGCCTGGCAACAAACTCAGAAGAAGGGAAGGGAAGAGAAGGGAAGGGAGAGGGAAGGCAGAGAGAAGGGAGAGGGAAGGGAAGGGAAGGGAAAGGAGAGGGAAGGGAAGGGAAGGGAGAAGGAAGGGAAGCGAAGGCGGGGGAGGGAAGGAGGAAGGAAGAAAGAAAAGACATCTCTATTAAAAATACAAAATTAGCTGGGTGTGGTGGCACATGCCTGTAATCCCAGCTACTTGGGAGTCTGAGGCAGGAGAATCACTTGAACCTGGGAGGCAGAGATTGCCATGAGCCAAGATCATGACATTGCACTGCAGTCTGGGCAAGAAGAATGAAACTCTGTCTCAAGAAAGGAAAAAAAATCCACAATTGGCTGGGCTCAGTGTCTCATGCCTATACTCCTAGCACGGTGGGAAGCCAAAGAGAATCACTTGAGCCCAGGAGTTTGAGACCAGCCTGGACAACATGGCAAGACCCCATCTCTACAAAAAATACAAAAATTAGCCAGTGTGGTGGCACCCACCTATAGTCCCAGCTACTCAGAAGGCTGAGGCAGGAGGATAACTTGAGCCCAGGAGGTCAAGGCTGCAGTGAGCTGTGATCATGCCACTGCACTCCAGCATGGGGGACAGAGTGAGACCTTTTCTCAAAAAAAAAAAAGTCAAAAAATAACAGATGCTGGTGAGATTGCAGAGAAGAAGGAACATTTTCACACCGTTGGTAGGAGTGTAAATTAGTTCTACCATTGTGGAAAATAGTGTGGTGATTCCTCAAAGAGCTAACAACAGGACTACCATTCTATCCAGCAATCCCATTACTGAGTATATGCCCAAAGGAATATAAATTATTCTATCATAAAGACACATGTATGTTTTCTGCAGAACTACTCACAATAGCAAAGACATGGAATCAACTTAAATGCTCATCAGTGGTGCACTGGATAAAGAAAGTGTAGTACATATACACCATGGAACACTATGCAGCCATAAAAATAATAAAATCACATTTTTGCTGGAACATGGATGGAGCTGGAGGCCATTGTCCTTAGCAAATTTATGCAGGAACGGAGAATCAAATACTCCATGTTCTTACTTTTAAGTGGGAGCTAAATGATGAGAACACATGGACACATAGAGGGTAACAAAAGACACTGAGATTTATGGAAGGAGGGAGAGGATTGGGAAAAGTTAACCAATAGGTACTGGGTTTAATACCTGGGTAGTATTCCCGAGCCTCCACTCCATCCCCCGCGGGTCTGCTCTGTGTGCCATGGACAGCATTGTCCCTGATATAGCAGTTGGTACAAAGCAGGGATCTGACGAGGTTTTCTCTACTTGTGTCACCAACAGACCGTTTATCAGCAGCAGCAAAACGTCTGCAGCAAATGGAAATGACAACAAAAAGTTCAAAGGCGATAGCAAAAGTGCCGGCGTACCCTCCAGAGTGATCCACATTCAGAAGCTCCCCATCGACATCACCGAAGGGTGCCTTTTGGGAAGGTCACCAATCACTTGATATTGAAGGGGAAAAACCAGGCCTTCATCGAGATGAACACAGAGGAGGCTGCCAACACCAAGGTGAACTACTACACCTCTGTGACAGCCGTGCTGTACGGCCAGCCCATCTACATCCAGTTCTCCAACCACAAGGAGCTGAAGACTGACAGCTCTCCCAGTCAGGCACGTGCCCAGGCAGCCCTGCAGGCCGTGAACTCGGTCCAGTCGCGGAACCTGGCTTTGGCTGCCTTGGCGGCGGCTGTGAACACAGGGATGGTGATGGCCGGGCAGAGCCCCAAGCTGAGGATCATCGTGGAGAACCTCTTCTACCCGGTGACCACGGACGTGCTGAACCAGATTTTCTCCAAGTTCGGCACGGTGTTGAAGATCATCACCACCAGTTCCAGGCCCTGCTGCAGACACCGTGAGTGCCCAGCACGCCAAGCTGTCTCTGGACGGGCAGAACATCTACAACGCCTGCTGCACGCTGCGCATGGACTTCTCGAAGCTCACCAGCCTCAACGTCAAGTACAACAACGACAAGAGCCTTGACTACACGCGCGCAGATCTGCCCTCTGGGGACAGCCAGCCCTCGCTGGACCAGACCATGGCTGCGACCTTCGGCCTTTCTGTTCCCAACGTCCACGGAGCCCTAGCGCCCCTGGCCATCCCCTTGGCAGCGGCGGCAGCTGCGGCGGCAGGCCTGATCGCCATTCCGGGCCTGGTTGGGGCAGGAAATTCTGTGTTGCTGGTCAGCAACCTCAACCCAGAGAGAGTCACACCCCAAAGCCTCTTTATTCTTTTCGGCGTCTACGGCGATGTGCAGCACGTAAAGAGCCTGTTCAATAAGAAGGAGAATGCCCTGGTGCAGATGGTGGACAGCAACCAGGCCCAGCTTGCCATGAGCCACCTGAACCGGCACAAGCTGTACCGGAAGCCCATCCACATCACACTCTCGAGGCACCAGAACGTGCAGCTTCCCCGCCAGGGCCAGGAGGACCAGGGCCTGACCAAGGACTATGGCAACTCGCCCCTGCACCGCTTCAAGAAGCCAGTATCCAAGAACTTCCAGAACATATTCCCACCCTCGGCCACCTAGCACCTCTCCAACATCCCGCCCGCAGTGTCCGAGGAAGATCTCAAGGTCCTCTTCTCCAGCAATGGGGGCGTCGTCAAAGGATTCAAGTTCTTCCAGAAGGACCGCAAGATGGCGCTGAACCAGATGGACTCCGTGGAGGAGGCGGTCCAGGCCCTCGTTCACCTGCACAACCACGACCTCGAGAAGAGCCACCACCTGCGGGTCTCCTTCTCCAAGTCCACCATCTAGGGACACGAGCCCCTCACGACCGGGCCCCCTGGCGACAACTTCCATCATTCCAAAGAAAAGCCACTTTTTTTTTTTTTTTTTTGAAAGAAAGAGAAAGAGAAAGGGGGAGAGACAACAGGAGTGTTGCTCTGTTGCCCAGGCAGAAAAGCCACTTTAAAAAGCAGCTGAAGTGACCTTAACAGACTAGAGATTTTATTTTTTTAAAGAGAAATCATTTTACCGGTTTTTAAAAAAATTAAATCCAGTTCACCTTGCTAAACTTGCAGTAACAGGTGACTGTGGCAGCGGGAGCTCCCAGCCCTCCACACCCGGAGCCAGACCCTCGGGCCGTGCTTTGGTGGGGCCTGTCGGGCGTGGGGCCTACGGTTGGGCGCCGAAACCACGACTCTGCTTCCTTGTGCCTTAAAAAAAACCTACCTTCCTGCGGCCACGCACCCCCCCTGGGTGTCCTGGGGACCCCAAGGGGCAGGGGGCCCAGCAGGCTCCTGCAGGATCATGTGCCTGGGGTGCGGCAGCCACGGCCTGCCACACCCCAACCCCCGCCCTCTAATCAAGAGATGTGATTTTTGCCCGCCCGCCCTGCCCCGCCCCCAGGACCTTCCCCTCTGCCCCCAGGCGCTGGCCCAGGGTGCCCGCTGCTGCTTTCAGCTGCGGAGCTGTTCCTCATAATCTCTGTATTATATACTTTGCAGTGGCAGACGTCTGTGACTAGCAATATTTCCAGTTGACCAAATATTCTAATCTTTTTTCATTTATATGCAAAAGAAATAGTTTTAAGTAACTTTTTATAGCAAGATGATACAATGGTATGAGTGTAGTCTAAACTTTCTCGTGGTATTACCTTGTATGCTGTTTTATTTTATTTCTTGTCATTAAGTCACAGACGGGACCCAGTTTCCAGAGAGCAGGCGGGGCCGCCCGGCGGGTCAGGCACAGGGAGCCCTGGTCCGATCTCAGGCGCGAACTTCCGGGAAGGGGCGGGCGGGCCGCCGCCTCTGGCATCGCCTCCGGTTGCCTTACACCGCGCCTTCAGCTGCAATAGCCTAGAAAACTTGCTCTCAAACTTCTTCAGGGTTTTTCTTCAAATTTTGGACCAAAGTCTAGTTTCTGTTTTCTGCCTGTCTCTGATGTTGGGACCCGGAAGGCAGGCGCTGGTCTCCACTTCGCTGTGCTCTTCCCCCGCCTCTGCGCTGCCTGTCCTGGGGGCTCCTGGGATCCCCTTTCCGTAAAGGAGAATGTAACGAGGGTGTAAATATTTATAATTTTTTATACCTGTTGTGAGACACGAGGGCAGCGACGCGGTTTTCTATGGAGACACAGATGTATATTTTGCTAGCGGCAATTCCAGGCTCAGTATTGACCGCGGAGTGGTAGGGACCCAACGCGCATTCCATTGCTGTCCCGATGGCTCGCGATACGGAGAGAACGGATTAAAACCGTTTTATAACCAACTCCTCCTGTAGCCCTGTGTTCGCTGTAGAGGCAGGTTGGCCAGTCTGCACCTGAACTTTGAATAAATTTCTGTAACCTCAAAAAAAAAAAAATACATGGGTAACGAAATAATCTGTACAATAAACCCTGTGACACAAGTTTACCTATGTAACAAACCTGGATTGTACCCCTGGACTTAAAATATAACTTTAAAAAACAGATGATGTAAATTTATGGTATTGATAAACATAGTACAGTACTGTAAATGTATAAAATAAAAATTAAAAAGGCCTTTAAACATAACTTGCTTAATTTCATCCATAACAAGAATACAAATTAAAACCACATTGAGATATCAGTTTTCGTCAATCAGATGGACAAACATTAAAAAAAACTGACAATGGGCTCTTAATAAGGATGTGGAAAAATAGGCATTCTCATATATTGTTTGTAGGAGTGAAAAACATGGTAGAACCACAATGGAGGGAATTCGGCAATATCTTCAAATAATGATTTATGCATTTGTCTTTTGAACTAGCAATTCCATCTTTAAGAATTTAAATATATACCTTCACAAATAGAACATTATATACACAAAGTTATTTATTGTGACATCATTTACAATAAAATAACTAGAAAACAACCCAATGGCAATCAGCTGAGACTGAATGAAATATGATGAATCTACTGAATAGTGTCAATGGTGTACAATATAATTGTTTAAAAAAATGAGAAAGGTCTCTATAAACAATATAAAGAAATGTCCAGAATATATCAATATTCAGGAATAAAAGCAAGGTAATAAACAGTATACATGGTATGCTACTTTTGCGTAAGATGAAAAGAGAAAATAAGTATGTGTGTGTCACAGAGAGAGTGATTTGCCCAATTTGGCAAAAACAAACAGGAGGCATAAATGTTTTTCCAATGAAAATGTTAAGAATAGGGAGGTGTAATGGAATGAAGGAACAGGAATGGTAATGAGACTTCTCTGTGTTTAATTTTTTAAATATAGGTTTGACTTTGAACCGTATGGAATCAACTGCAATCTCCCCCTCCTGGGTTCAAGCAATTCTCCTGTCTCAGCCTCCCGATTAGCTGGGATTACAGGCGCCCACCACCACACCTGGTTAATTTTTGTATTTTTAGTAGAGACGGGGTTTCACCATCTTGGCCAGGCTGGTCTCGAACTCCTGACCTCATGATCCACCCACCTCGGCCTCCCAAAGTGCTGGGATTACAGGCATGAGCCATTGTGCCTGGCCACTATTTTCTTTATTTTTATTTTAACTTTTTAATTGCCTTGTCTTTGTCAGGCACCAATACTCTTTTTTTCAATAATATATAGAAAAACCAGATAGAAGATCAATAAGGAAATAGAGGACCTGAGCAATACTATAAAGCAAGTGGACATAACAAACTTATACAAAACATTCCACCCAATAACAGTAAAATACCATTTTTCTCAAGTGCACCCAGATTATTCTCCAGGACAGACCGTATGTTAGGACACAAAACAAGTCTAAGCAAATTTTGAAACACTGAATTCATACAAAATACAGCTTCTGATCACAATGGAATGAAACTAGATATGAATAGCAGAAGGAAAACAAGAAAAGACAACACATTCTTAAATAACCAATTGATCAAAGAAATCAAAAATAAAATTAGAAAATATCTGGAGAAAAATAAAAATAAAACCAGCTAGACATGATGGTTCATGCTTGTAATCCCATCACTTTGGGAGGCTAAGGTGGAGGAACACTTAAGGCCAGGAGTTCAAGACCAGCGTGGGCAACATAGTGAGACTCTCTCCCATCTCTACAGAAAAATTTAAAATTTAGCCCAACATGATAGCATGTGGTTATAGTCCTAGCTACATGCGAGGCTGAGGTGGGAGGATCAAGAAACAAAAGATAATAATAATAAACCCTAGGCTGTGAGAAGAAAGACAATAATAAAGATTAGAGCAAAGATAAATAAAATAAAGTTGGTTTTCTAAAAAGTAAAAAAAAAAAACATGAACAAACCTGCCAGGCATGGTGGCTCATACCTGTAATCCCAGCACTTTGGGAGGCCAAGGCG